TGTTGGCCTCTTCTCCCAAAGGACGAACGACAAGACCAGAGGAAATGGTCTGAAGTTGTGGCAGGGGAGATTTAGATTAGATATTAGAAAGAACTACTTTACTGAGAGAGTGGTCAGGCCCTGGAACAGCCTGCCCAGGGAGGTGGTGGAGTCACCATCCCTGGAGGGATTTAAGAAACGTGTAGACATGGCTCTTCAGGGCATGCTCTAGTGCCCAAGGTTATTGGTTTATGGTGAGGTGTTGAGTGTGGGGTTTAGTTGGTGGGTGCGGTGTTTTTGGTGGGCGTTTGGTGTGGTGTGGTGGTTTTTTTTGTTTGTTTGTTGTTTTTTGGTTTTTTGTGGTTGGACTCGATGATCTCTGAGGTCCCTTCCAACCACTAAGATTCTGTGATTCTGTGATTCTGTTAGCACAGCGCTGCCTCTGAGCTCTGATGCCTCTGGTGAGTAAGGTGGGCAGTGTTCCTTGCTAGCTGGCCCCTGCCTCCTGTTCCTGCCTCCCCGCCAGCTCACTGCCACCTAACCTTGGCATTGCCACGTGTGAGCAAATCCTTACTGTGAACAGCACAGCCCCCTTAAGCACTTCATTCCCTTCACCTCTCAGCGCGCAGCCGCGTCGTGTGCCTTCTGCTGCTGTAGCCTGTCTTGGTTTTTTTGTATAAATACAGGTTCTAGTTCCCTTTCTCTTAATCGTGGCCCGTTAATCCTCTTTCTACATTGCTAAATAGCCCTTCTACTTTTTGGATTGTGGCCTGGAGGGCGAGGCAGAGATTTCAATCTGCTTCTCGTTTGGTCGGTGCCGACAGCTCAGGCTGGAGTCCACGTGGGGCTGAGCAAGGGCTCCCGGGGCTCGAGCCTGAGATGAGCCAAGAAGGCCACCAGCATCCTGGCCTGTGTCAGGAACAGCGTGGCGAGTAGGGCCCGAGAGGTGATTGTCCCCCTGTACTGGGCACTGGTGAGGGCTCACCTCGAGTGCTGTGTCCGTTTTTGGCCCCCCTACCATAAAAAAGACATCGAGGGGCTGGAGCGGGTCCAGAGAAGGGCGACAAAGATGGTGAGGGGTCTGGAGCACAAGTCTTATGAGGAGAGGCTGAGGGAGCTGGGGGTGTTCAGCCTGGAGAAGAGGAGGCTGAGGGGAGACCTTATTGCTCTCTCCAACTCCCTGAAAGGAGGGTGTAGAGAGGGGGGGGTCGGTCTCTTTTCTCAAGTCACAGGTGACAGGACAAGAGGAAACGGCCTCAAGTTGCGCCAGGGGAGGTTCAGGCTGGATATTAGGAAAAATTTTTTCACTGAAAGGGTTCTCAGGCATTGGAATGGGCTGCCCAGGGAGGGGGTTGAGGCCCCATCCCTGGAGGTGTTCAAAAGCCGGGTTGATGTAGTGCTGGGAGGTCTGGTTTAGTGATGATGCTCCTTGTTTGTTGTGTGGGTGTCTATTTTTGTCAGTTAGGTTGACGGTTGGACAAGATGATCTTGAAGGTCCCTTCCAACCTAGAAGATTCTGTGATTCTGTGGTTCTATGTGTCTCTGGGGTGAGCAGACACCGCTTTCCATCGGCCCAAGGCTGCTTTGCTCTTTGCACTTGCTGTAGGAGGATCCCACCATTTCGGGAACCTTCCCAGAGCAAAACAGTGAGGTAAAATGTGGGGGAAAAAACGTGCTGTCAGGAGCACAGAGTAAACAAGGAGGGGGGGAACTACTTATACTGGGAGGAGGAATCAACAAAGGGCTGTCAGGGAGGCACAGCAATCCCGCTGGAAAAATGCAAACATTTGTGCTCCCAGCCTTTGGCTTATAAGAGTCTTAGCTGTTATCTGTAATAAAAACAGGTAAGATCTTTTCAGGCTGTGATTTTTTTTAAACTGACAGCATCCCTTTGAAGTACATCTGTATAGAAGAGCAATTACATCTAGCATCCAATTAGTCTGAGCGCTCCTGTTCTCCTCCGGCGGCTCCCCCGGGGACACCATCCCTCGGCAGGCGGGAAGGCACGGGGCTCTCTAGGAAGGACAAAGCCAGTCAGCCTGCAGGAAGGAGAAGCCATGGCAGCCTCACTGCTCTCCTGGCCATGGAAACGCTTCCTCCTGTCACAGATGAATTACTCTGGGCAGAGCTGGAAGGTTTCCAGAAGGGCCTTGGCACTGCTGAGCCAAAGGTGAACGTTACAGCCTTTGCTTTTCCTCGCCAGAAGGAAGATGGGCTCCTTCAAGCAATAAGTGTTTCTGCTACGATATCTCAGCGTTCATCCTTATCTCCCTATTCCTGCTTCCAGCAGACTCAGGGAGTGAATAACACACCTTAGTAACCTGCTTATGTTCACTCTGAGAGGAGGGGATAATAGTGTGCCGTAGGAGAGCGATAACTAACCGTTCAGACGTGATGCTCTTTCAATCTGAAAGCGTCTGTTTGGTGCTTTGTGGCTTCCATCCCCTCCATCTGTGCTGTCAGCGTGGCTTACAGGTTCCTTTCAGTGGCTAGCAACATCAGAGCTCCCTTCTTCCCTCTCTTGCAGTGTTCCCTCCTGATGGATGGTCTGTGCCTGGTGCTAGCAGTGCAGCGAGACAATGCCGTCCTCTGCTTCGGCTCCCTGCTGGACAGGTAAGTGCCTTGAACAGCGCTGTCTCAAAGAGCTTATTATCCAAAAGAAGCCCAGCTGACACCCTTCTTTGTGATTCCCTTCCAGTTCAGGCTCCTGTGAGCCACTCAAAGACAACCCATTCTTCCTAAGTTATCTTGTTGGATCAATTTTCCCCAGTTTCCGAGTCACATGCCCTCTATCCAGTACCTTAAATACTGAGTTCTGTTGTTAGTTAAGGACTCGGAGTGTCTGTGAGGTTCCACAAATACAGGGAATTCTCTGAAATAAGGGCTCACATTGGGAATAGACCTGCTGAATCAATGAAATTCCTCGGAGAAATATCTTAGCGGATTCCACGTTTCCTAGGAAAAGAAATTTACTTAAAATAAACACCAGAGAGCAAAATCAAAAATCAGCCTCTTAAATAAATCACCAGAAATGCTGGGTAGAGGATTTATAAGCCTGGTAAAACAAACAGAACCCCTCTACAGGGACTGATTAGTGAAATAGAATGATTATCAGGCCAATTAACCCACTGTTCCCCAGAGGTAAAGTCTCCTTGCACAGGGGCTGGTATTTGGCAACGCGTTGTGTAGTTCATGCGCATGGTTTCCTCTGGGAAAGGAAGCCAAGAGTCTCTTTTTCCTGACACGTTGGGCACAGAGCAGGGCCAGCAGCTGCACCGATACGGCTGTCGTGACTTAGGCTGTACCATCTGGAGGTCTCGCAGATAACGCTGTCAAGGGGACAGGAATAAGGAATTTGGGGATGCTGGAGTTTACAGATGTTGGTAGATACCTTGGAGTTCTTGTGCTTTGATGAAAGGTCACGGTGGTCAGTCACAAGGCCACACCTGGGAGGAACAGTTCGAACAAATTTCATCAGTATCTTTTCAAAAATGTTTTTAAGCTAATAACAAAATTTAGACATTGCTCCCATTCACTTAAAATCCCACCTTTGGGAGCCACATCCCGAAGCTTTCACCCAGCGAGGCACAGCACTAAGGGGAAGCAGAGAGCAAGGTACCTGAGACCTCTCTAGTGAGTTTTCTGCAGCTCTTCTGGAGCTTCACTTGACGTGTTTTGAGATGGACAGTCTGGAGGTGGAACCCCTGCCCAAACCTCACAGTGGCTTCTCAGTGCCATTCGGGGCGAGCCGAGGGGCTGAGAAGGAAGAGGGGAAGAATTAGTGTGGACTTTGCCAGTCCTGGCCATGTCTCTCTGCTCTGTGCCAGTAGGGCTGGCTCTACAAAGGACCAACTCCTTGCCAAGCTGCAAAATACGTGTGAAGAAATTATGGCTGTTGGGAGGTGCTCCCAAACGGCAGCATCCGTTCTGCCTCTTGCTGCCGTGCCAGAGCTAGTGATCGTGCTACCATCTAAAACCAGCTCTACAAAAACATAGTCATCACAGGATGGTTTGGGCTGGAAGAGACCTTAAAGCCCACCCAGTGCCACCCCCTGCCCTGGGCAGGGACACCTCCCACCACACCAGGTTGCTCCAAGCCCCCTCCAACCTGCCCTTGAACCCCTCCAGGGATGGGGCAGCCACAGCTTCTCGGGCCAACCTGGGCCAGGCTCTCACCACCCTCACACCAAACAAGTTCTTCCCCACAGCTCAGCTCCATCTCCCCTCTTGCAGGGTCCAACCCTTCCCCCTCCTCCTAGGGCTCCCCTCCCTCATCCAGAGTCCCTCCCCACCTTTCCTGGAGCCCCTTGAGGGACAGGAAGGGGCTCTAAGGTCTCCCCGGAGCCTTCTCTTCTCCAGGCTGAACCCCCCAACTCTCTCAGCCCCCCCTCCCAGCAGAGGGGCTCCAGCCCTCCCAGCATCTCCGGGGCCTCCTCTGGCCCCGCTCCAACAGCTCCATGTCCTTCTGATGTTGGTGACTCCAAAGCTGGACACAACACTCCAGGAGGGGTCTGTTTGCCTTCGTGATCACCGATACTTGTGGAAGGCAGGGGCAGCCAAGGTGTGCCCGAGGATGAGGAGGGGAGGCAGTGATCCATGGGTAGATCAACTTGAGCCAACAGTAAACCCATGGGCTTCTTCTGTCGTAACCCGCCATACTGTTCAAAATCAGCTTTGCAAATCCCTTTGAAAACCCAGCCTGACTGAACTCGTGTCTCATAAGGACCCTTCATGCTAAGACATCTTCAGCGCCGAGTTTATAAACATTTCAAAATAACATCTGAGGTTAATTGCACTTACGACTCCATCAGCGGGAGCCATGTGACCTTTCTTGTACTGACTAAATCACTCTGTGTTTATTTCACTGTCACTGCCACGGCCCAGGGTTCTGATACCTGTGCAGGTACCTGAAGCATCCTCGTGTGAGAGATGATTTCACAGCCCTGGGAGGTGCTTCGCAGCTGAGCCACGTTCCTTCAGCTTTGTGCCACGGGGGGAGAGATGTTTCCATCTGTACGGAAGCTGGGGACGTGATGTCAGAGATGGGCTGCGATAAGAAGGAGGAATCAGGTGTTGAGAGGAACAATGTGGGCTTTGCTCGTGTCACTGCTCCTCCTTCAGAGCCTATTAAAGCTTTCCTAAGCCAGCTCTACCCGTGGCACTTCCAGGAGAGACGCTCAATCGCTGGAGGATGAGCAGTTCCCTTAAAGACAGACACAGACCCTCATAAATATGTCATGATTATTGTTCAGGACCAGCTGTACCCACTCTGGCCATCTCTGAAGGTGTCATTTCTGCCCCAGAGGGTAGGAAGAGCAGAGAAGGGGGACCAGATTGATGCAGGTGGGGGCACAAAAGCAGCCCGTGGGCTTGGTTGACTGCAAAGAGCGGAGCCAAAGCAGAAATCGGGGAGAATCAGGGAGGATGCCAAGGGCAACTCACTGGGAAGAGTGAATCTGGAAAAGGTGAGGAGAAGCTGAAGCCCAGCTGAAGAGCAAGGGGGTCCAGGGGGAGAATCCAGAGAAGGAAGTGACACAATCCTCTCGGCGGCCGAGGAAAAATGATGTGAGACTTGCCTTTCTTGTTCTGTCAGCATCCGGTTGCCTGGATCTCCACTAGCAAAGCATTTACATTTTCCCTGTCATAACTTGTTTTTACAGCCAGATTTCCTAGCTGCGGGCTGGCAGAGGGAAGAATTTACAAGCAGATTCAAAGCAGCTCCTGGAAGAAAGGCACGCTCTGCTTTTCATGCACGACAAACCAGATTTAGCTGCCTTAATAGGTGATACTGATTTAATAGTGATTACTCCTCTCTGGTTATTTGTGCTCTTTAAGGGTACTTTTAGGTGCTTTGAAGATCGTTAGGACCTAACTCTGTTGTGCAGGGTCTTTAGGAACTCACCCAGTTAACCTTGTATGGAACTGGGAAAGCAGTGTTCAACTAAAGGGTGTGAAAACCTCTCTGCATCAGAAGAAAACCGGGGTGTAGACTTTATACCTTCCTGGGTTTAGACAATGCAGCGCAATCAGAACAGAAGTCAAGTGCTCAGGAACTTAGCTGGATGTTTTTCTCTCTGATGAAACGTTCTTACCAAGCGTTAATTGCTGTTAGCGGGGAGTGATGTTATCCCTATAGGAAGCTCATCTCTGGGAGCTCTGGAAGGAAAAGAGGTGTAGAAATCAAAAAAAAATGAGATGTAAAATCTTGGGAGCTGTTGAAAACCACTGAGGGGAAAACTGGTGCCAAGCACAATACCTGGATATGGGGGCAGGGAGCAGGGAGTGGTTTCCAAAAGCTCTGAAGAGTTTTCAAGCTTAAGACTCCAAGCACAAAGTTAGTTTAAAAAGCAATTTTGAAGTTTGTATTGTGGCTTTGAATTTCTCTTGAATATGTCTTGCGGTCAACTCCTGTGTGGCTCGAGGTGGGCCAGAGCAAAACAAGGACAAGCCAAGCAGACCCTGCTGCTGAAGGCAGCTTAGAAAGTCCTGGGTTTTGGGGAAAACACACAAATATTATCTTCGTGGAGAGAAAAACCCCTGCAGGGAGCTGACTACCTACATTTACGTGTGTTCCCCACTGCCCCAGAGACCCCATTATGCAACAGGTCATTACAGTTGTTTGAAGGCTTATATTTTAAGAATCCAAATCCATTTATCCAAAGCTTTGTAAAACCCAGGATTTATCTGTGTAAAGAAGTTCAGTAACAGATGCACATGGCCAGAGCTGCTGGCACAGAGCATAGTCCTCCTCAAAGCTAGGTCATCTGCAGCCTCCAACAGCTTAGATGGCAAAGTAACACTGGCTTCTGTTTTTCTTTACCCCCAGTGTCTGTTGGCAGAAGGAGTCGGTCCTGGACGCTGCGCAGCATCTCCTTTATCCCCAAAATGAGAAACAGGCAAGTAGAGAAGTTTATGGTACATATATATGTCCTTTGTCTCCTTGTGATGAACGAAACTTGTCAAAACTGTTTGAATTTTAGAAGAAAATGTCCATTTGTATGAGACAGGGGTGGTGACAGCCCCAAGCTTTGGCTTGGGCTGAGAGCCCAGCACGTGGTGGAAGGTGGGACCAGAACCCTGTCAAACTGTCTTCCACACCACACCAGTGGCACTACTTTGAATCAAAATATTTTGGGATTCAGATAAAGAGACAACATTTTCTGTAGATGTCAGTTACTTTTTTAAGAAGAACCAACGCTTAGTAAGATATCTGTGATACTTGTCAAAAAGAAGTGGCAGGAAATGTTCATTCAGCCCTTCTGCCGAGCTGGCACGTGTCCTGTGGTCAGGAAGTTGTGTTTCAGAAGCCCATATCCAAATGGAAGCTGAGAAATGAAGCCATTCGCCATTCCAGGGATGGGCAAGCTGAATATTTGCTCACTGGCTCATCCCAAGAAAGGAAACCCCAAGCTCCGGGTTTTTAAAGCCACGTGGGCATTTATTTATTTATTCCAGTGGGAATAAACTGCACAAACACCTTTAAACTCTGGCTGTGATTGTTAAGAATTAGCACAAAACAAACAAGAGTTTGGGAAACAGGAGGCAGCGCCTTAAGAAGCAGAACTAGGAGGTGTAAAAGAATTGGGGAGAAGGAGAAATGTAGCAAGTGGCTGAGTCTTTCCTGCAGATCCCTTTTTGCTTCCCAAGAAAACCCATGAGGAGTGAGGGATGTGTCTGTAACCTCATACACCATCTCCGAGCCGCTGCCTGCAGCACCAGCGCTCCGAGCTTTAAAAGACACAGAGCCCTCTTTGAAGTCTGCCTTCCCGCTTTTAACCCAGGCAAAACTCCCCCCAAAACTCTCCCCAAAAATCATACAGCTGCTGTTTTTTCAGCAGCTTTCCCCTCAGGCACCGTACAATCCTGGCGGGGCGTAGCTGGGGCTGCCGGCGCTGCGGAAGGGCTGCGGTGGCCGCGGGGCTGTCACGGCTCGGCGCTGGCTGCTGCCAGGGTGCCAGGCTGTTGCCAAGTAATGTGACAGGGCAGCAAAGTCCGGGCTGTTCTTCTGATTTGCTTTGAAAAGGACATCACATATCTCTGGCAGACATAAAATCCCTTCTGCTTCACGGCTTCGGTGGAATCAGCCTATCGGAAAGAGGCTTATAGCGCTTTCTGCCGTAGATAAGGGAAAAAAAGCAAATGTGCTGAGCCCTTCTCCCCGCTTCTGGCAGCCTGGGCCACTCAATCTAATCCCTGGGGCACTGGTGGAAGCAGGGGCTGCTCGAAACAGGTCAGAGTTTCAACCCCGAGCCCAGTCCTGGGACGGTGGTGGCTGCAGAGCGTCTCGCCGTGGGGTACAAAGCAGCGCAGCAGCACGTCGTGTTGATTTTCAAATGGGCCTTTTGCTCCAAAGTTGGAGGTAGCTCTAAAAATCACAGGGCGAGATCTGAGGAACAAGCTCACCAGGGAAGGACCGTACCTCAAAGGATGGCCCGATGGAAACCATGTTTGATGCTCTGATCTCTTGCTAATGAGTTTATGAAATGTCAGCCAGGCTTTCCAGGTCAAAGCTAATGAGCAACAACATGATATCAGGCAAAGTTCAGGAGGGTTAAATGAACATGGATTTCAAATCCTCGTGGTCTGAGCGAGAGCTGCAGCGTTTACTGCTGGAGCGGAGCTGTGGAAGGGAAAAGGAATTTCATACTCGCTCCCTGTGTGATTTGGGACTGGGCAATAGGGTGAGAAATCAGCTTTCCAGATTTCAGCGCTGACATCTGTGTGTGGGGCAGTGCTTGTGCCTCCTCCTGCAGTCACTGAGAGAAACAAGCATTTCTACAGCTCTTTTCACCTGCCCTATTGGAAACATCTGCGTTCGGAGCAGATAAATTCATGCTTTGGAAGTTCCTTCCTCTCAGGCAGTGACCCTGCAGCTGCCTGCTCCCCTGGGCTTCAGAGCAGTTGTACAACATCTGGAAGTGACAGGTGCCACCATTAGGGACTGTTGAACTTTCCAGCCCCTCAAGGGGCTCCAGGAAAGCTGGGGAGGGACTCTGGATGAGGGAGGGGAGCCCTAGGAGGAGGGGGAAGGGTTTGAGCCTGCAAGAGGGGAGATGGAGCTGAGCTGTGGGGAAGAACTTGTTTGGTGTGAGGGTGGTGAGAGCCTGGCCCAGGTTGGCCCGAGAAGCTGTGGCTGCCCCATCCCTGGAGGGGTTCAAGGGCAGGTTGGAGGGGGCTTGGAGCAACGTGGTGTGGTGGGAGGTGTCCCTGCCCAGGGCGCAGGGGGTGGCACTGGGGGGGCTTTGAGGTCCCTTCCAACCAAACTATTCCATGATTCTATGAACTTCCAGAATGTCTCTGTGAGGTGGTCCCAGATGTCTTTGCAGAGTGTCTCTGTGAGGTGGTCCCAGATGTCTTTGCACCTGGTTCATGCCCAGACTGGGACCTTCCCAGCGACCAGAGAGCTGTCAGGGCATGCTGTGCTCAGCCTCGTGGCTGGGGTGTCGTGTGCCTGATGGTTTCTCCTCATGTGTAGCTCTGCACCATGGCTGGGGTGAGATCCTGAGGCTGGGGTGGCCGTCCCTCAGTGACTGCATGTTACATCGTTGACCTGCCACCATTGGTGGATGGTCTATCAGGGACCACCAGGTCCAGAGCAGGGAGATGGCACGGTCTCTGTGCAGCTGTTCCTAGTTAAGAGCCCATGGATGTGCAGCAGAACCTCCACTCCAGGCAGCACTAATCCCTCTACTCTGCCTGGAGTCCTGAAGCTGCTCCAGCATCTCCATCCCTGCAGAGCCAGCTGAAACCTGGGACTGGAGCAGAGCCACATGGGGAAAAGTGCATCCTGGCCACTCTTGGCCTGGTCCTTGACCCCTCAGCAGCAGGCAGAAGGGCTGGAGTCCTCTAAAAGAGACCTAAAAAGACCTAAAAACCCCTGAGGAGAGGCAGAGTGCTGGCGGGAGGAGGAGCCCAAGGGCTGTGTGGGGTGGACTGTCACTGTGGCATGTGTAAGGCTTTAGGGGAACGAGGTATTCCATGTGTAAGGCTTTAGGGGAACGAGGTGTTCGTTAGGGCAGTCAGAATTACAGACTGGTCCTGGAGGCCTTGGTGCTTAGCTGACCTCCCAGCCACACCAGGAGAACGGCAGAGGAGTGAGGTTTGGGAAGGAGAGACTTTGTTAGTGCAGTCAGAATTACAGACTGGTCCTGGAGGCCTTGGTGCTTAGCTGGCCTCCCAACCACGCCAGGAGAACAGCAGAGGAGTGAGGTTTGGGAAGGAGAGACAGAGCAGCAGGGGGAGGGAGTTAGATATCCCACTTGGCACTTTGCATCTTGTGGGTTTTCTGCAGTTCCTTGAAAGAAAGTGAATCTTGAGAACGTCCCAACAATGGTTAGAACTAGCAGAGGTTTCCCTGCTGTGGGACGCTCATGGCCACCTCTGTGCTGGGGTTAATTAAAACTGGTAAACATCCCCACTACGCTGCCTGCACCCACGAGGAACCCAGCTCTGAAAAGAAGTTTCTTTGTGGCGCAGAGAGATCACAGCTCTCTCCTTCAACCCCTTCCTTCTTTTCTCCCCAGGCCGAGGAGCTGCTCTGTTGCCTTTTTGACTCCCTGACGTCTGAGAGCGTCCACCGGATCGAATCCCAGGATTGCTAACCAGGACAGCCAAGGCCTCCATGCAGGCACTGCGGGTATCTGTGAAATGGGCACACGGGGGGCGCCCAGCCTCTAAGAGCACTCATATTTGTTTGTCATTAAAACATAAGAGTCTGAAGTATGGTAATAAGTAAGATAAATGAGAGTGGTGGGAGGAAGGATCAGTGCCCAAGAACAAATCTTTCTGCATCTCCCTTATGAGGAGAGACTGAGAGAGCTGGGACTCTTTAGTCTGGAGAAGAGAAGGCTGAGGGGAGACCTTATCAATGCCTACAAGTATCTCAAGGGAGGGTTGAAGGAGGAGGGAGCCAGACTCTTTTCAGTGGTTCCCAGTGAGAGGACGAGGGGCAACAGGCACAAGTTGGAACAGAAGAGGTTCCACTCAAATATGAGGAGAAACTTCTTCACGGTGAGGGTGGCAGAGCCCTGGAACAGGCTGCCCAGGGAGGGTGTGGAGTCCCCTTCCTTGGAGATTTTCAAGCCCCACCTGGATGCTCCTGAGTAACATGCTCTGACAAGCTCTGGGCAATCCTGCTTCAGCAGGGGAGTTGGACTAGATGATCTGTATGGTCCCTTCCAACTCTAAAATTTAGTGAAATTCAGTGAAATTCAGTGAACCTCAGCCGTGGTTTCTAGTGGAATGCATTCAGAGACAATCTGCTCCGATTCACGGAGCAAGGTTTGGAGCGTTCCTCTGGCTGGGAGAAACTTGGGAAGTGAAGTAAAATGGGGCAGGGGCTCGCTGCTGTCTTTCTCCTGGGTGCTTTGGGGACTCCATCTTCCCCAGGCCCCCAGAGACATGATGGAGAGACTCCATTTTCTGCTGCTACTGTGTTCTTTGAGCCAAAGACACAACAGTTGGTGACGCTTGGCCAGAGCAGAGGGAAGTGAGCATTAAACCATCCAGCTTTAACCTTATTCCACAGCTCTACCTGGTGTATGGAACTCTCCAGGGATCCAACCTTCCCTCAAACTATTTCCATTTTATTTACTGTGGTTTTTCGCCCCTGAGCCTACTGCAATGCTTCCTTGGCTGAAGGAAGCTCTGTGAGCTCTCTGGCAAGTAAGTTGGTGTTAATGTGAAGATCCTCAGTCTTACTGGGACCCACTGGGTGAATTCAGTGCCTTTTGGGGAGACTCTTCTCAGCCCAGAAGACCCCATGTTCCTGTCTGCTCTACTAAGGCAAGTATGTGCATCCAGTTCCAGATGTCACAGAAGTGGCACAGAAGTCTCTGTGTGTTCTCCAAGTACTGGTGGGGCAGAGCAGTGTGTAGCTGGCTGGGTCACCCCACCTCTGGGTGCTGCTGGCAGGGTGAACCCTTCCTGAGTGCAGCCTTTCCCTCCCTGAGAGCCTGGTATGAGACCCCCTCCCCAGCCATTAGCTCGCCCAAACTTGGAATTCAACCCTTCTCAGATCTTTGTCCCCTTTCAGACTAGCCTGAAAGCGTCCACTGAGCCCAAAAGCTGGTAGAGGTCTGGCCATGCAAGCTCTGCTTCCTCAGCTGGTGGTAGTCCTGCCTTGATGTCTCTCCTTCTCCTTCTTGGCTGGTGATAGTCCTGCCTTGGTCTCTCTCTTCTCCTCCTTGGCTGGTGATAGTCCTGCCTTGGTGTCTCCTTCTCCTTCTTGGCTGGTGATAGTCCTGCCTTGGTCTCTCTCCTTCTCCTTCTTGGCTGGTGATAGTCCTGCCTTGATCTCCTTCCTTCTCCTTCTTGGCTGTTGATAGTCCTGCCTTGGTCTCTCTCCTTCTCCTTCTTGGCTGGAGAATAGTCCTGCCTTGGTCTCTCTCTTCTCCTTCTTGGCTGGGGATAGTCCGGCCTTGGGCTCTCTCCTTCTCCTTCTTGGCTGGAGAATAGTCCTGCCTTGGTCTCTCTCTTCTCCTTCTTGGCTGGGGATAGTCCGGCCTTGGGCTCTCTCCTTCTCCTTCTTGGCTGGAGAATAGTCCTGCCTTGGTCTCTCTCTTCTCCTTCTTGGCTGGGGATAGTCCGGCCTTGGGCTCTCTCCTTCTCCTTCTTGGCTGGAGAATAGTCCTGCCTTGGTCTCTCTCTTCTCCTTCTTGGCTGGGGATAGTCCGGCCTTGGGCTCTCTCCTTCTCCTTCTTGGCTGGAGAATAGTCCTGCCTTGGTCTCTCTCTTCTCCTTCTTGGCTGGGGATAGTCCGGCCTTGGGCTCTCTCCTTCTCCTTCTTGGCTGGAGAATAGTCCTGCCTTGGTCTCTCTCTTCTCCTTCTTGGCTGGGGATAGTCCGGCCTTGGGCTCTCTCCTTCTCCTTCTTGGCTGGAGAATAGTCCTGCCTTGGTCTCTCTCTTCTCCTTCTTGGCTGGGGATAGTCCGGCCTTGGGCTCTCTCCTTCTCCTTCTTGGCTGGAGAATAGTCCTGCCTTGGTCTCTCTCTTCTCCTTCTTGGCTGGTGATAGTCCTGCTTTGGTCTCTCTCCTTCTTCTTGGCTGGTGAATAGTCCTACCTTGGTCTCTGTCTTCTCCTTCTTGGCTGGTGATAGTCCTGCCTTGGTCTCTCTCCTTCTCCTTCTTGGCTGGTGATAGTCCTGCCTTGGTCTCTCTCCTCCTTCTTGACAAGCCAGAGGTTGTCATGGTCAGCTGGGTGAGCAGAGACATGGAGAGTGGACCTGCCCTGACCCTGCACAGCAGTTTGGTGTCAGAATTTGGAATTACCCTCCAAACCTCTGCTCCCTGCTCCTGTTTGGACTTTATGGTGGGACTAAACATCTCCTGAAGAGAAGCTCCAAAACCAGGCATCCGTGGGGGATGCAGGCAGCTGCCCTGGTCCCTGGGGAGGATGGGGCCCTGGGAGTCAGCGTGACGGAAAAGCCTGCTCTGCTCCTGCAGCTAAGTAGGCCATTTCCTGCACTCCAGGCGCATTTCTGTCATGCTTGTAAGCCATGTACGGCTTTGAAACAAATGAAAATTAAAAGGATCCACCCCCAGCACTCAGGGAATTTGAGCTGAAAAAAGGAGCATGTTGGAATCAACCGCAGCCAGATAACAGCTGAAGGACACGGGCTGTGGAGCTACGGGCAAGAAAGGGCCATATGGGGTCATCAGCAGCCCCGTGCCCAGACAGAGGAGTAGCCCATGGGCCACCAGATCTGTGCCCAACTCACCTGGGCCCTTGGACCTGTGAAGAATGGGATCACAGGGAGCTGGGCATCAGGAGGTGATGCAGCAGTCAGCCCGAGGAGGTGACATCCCGTTCAGACACCCCTGGCCCAGGAGGCAGGAGCTCTCCAGGCTTCCCAGGAGATGAGATTACGACTCTTAATTCGCTGTTTAAATATCCAGGGCCTGGCACCAAAGGCCCCTAGAAGCATGTCCCCTGACAGACAGCCCTACTGCTGAGCCACCTTCTGTGTGAGCCTCCATCCCCCAGCAGGTGAAGAGCCGTGCCTCAGTTTCCCTGGTGTGAAACAGGGGCAAAAGCCCTGCCATGAGCCCCAGCCACACCACAAAACGGGGCAGCACCCGGGTATTTCTGAGCCAGAGGCTGCCGCCGGGTCTTCAATTCCTATTTCAAAGCCCACCTAATTAGTCAGGGCCTAACAAACTACCACGCCCTGCAGAGAGCAGGGAAAAGAATCATCCTCTGGTATTTCCAAAATGCCAGGATTCCATAAATAAACCTGGCTGGCCTTTTTTCCTGGAGCACCCCACTTCTCTCCGGAGAGAGAGGAGGCAACCGGGAGCACCACGGACCCTGTGGAGATCAATCCCAGCAGCCTCACACACTGCGTTTTGGTTTCCCCCCCTCCCTGCAAACTGCCACAAGGCAACCAGGATTAGCTAATCAGGGCTGAGGAGCAAATTAATGATTGCTACGACGAGGAGAAAGGCAGATTTGATCGGAGATTGCCAGCTTTGCAGCTGGCTCCTACTTGCAAACAATTCATTTAGATTATGAAAGCAAGAAATTGAGTACAAAACCCCCTAGATTGTTTGCTTCCTAGAGAAAGAAAAGAAAAGAAATGGAATTTAGATTAAAAATTATGCAGAATAGTATTAATTCCCCACCCTCTTGTGCCTCCCCTCTTGCTGGAAGACCGGAGCTAATCAGAATTTAGCATTGTTCTGCTGCCAGTGTCAGAGCTGCCTCAATGGAGGAGAGATAAAATACAGTAGGTGGCATTTTGGGTTAACTCTTTAGGCTCCTGCCCTCCGAGCGATGGGAGCGCAGCGCCCGGTGCCCGTCTCCCATTTTTCCAGCATCCTCTGGCCTCAGCACCTCTGCTCCGAGGACCGGAGCACCCCACTTCTCTCCAGAGAGAGAGGAGGCAACCAGGAGCACCACGGACCCTGTGGAGATCAGTCCCAGCAGCCTCACACACTGCGTTTTGGTTTCCCCCCCTCCCTGCAAACTGCCACAAGGCAACCAGGATTAGCTAATCAGGGCTGAGGAGCAAATTAATGATTGCTACGACGAGGAGAAAGGCAGATTTGATCGGAGATTGCCAGCTTTGCAGCTGGCTCCTACTTGCAAACAATTCATTTAGATTATGAAAGCAAGAAATTGAGTACAAAACCCCCTAGATTGTTTGCTTCCTAGAGAAAGAAAAGAAAAGAAATGGAATTTAGATTAAAAATTATGCAGAATAGTATTAATTCCCCACCCTCTTGTGCCTCCCCTCTTGCTGGAAGACCGGAGCTAATCAGAATTTAGCATTGTTCTGCTGCCAGTGTCAGAGCTGCCTCAATGGAGGAGAGATAAAATACAGTAGGTGGCATTTTGGGTTAACTCTTTAGGCTCCTGCCCTCCGAGCGATGGGAGCGCAGCGCCCGGTGCCCGTCTCCCATTTTTCCAGCATCCTCTGGCCTCAGCACCTCTGCTCCGAGGACAGGCTGAGGGAGCTGGGGTTGTTCAGCCTGGAGAAGAGGAGGCTCCGGGGAGACCTAATAGCAGCCTTCCAGTACCTGAAGGGAGCCAACAGGAAGGCTGGGGAGAGCCTGTTTACGGTCCCTTCTGGCCTGGGCAATTCTATGATTCTATGATCATCATCACCTCCCTTCAACGGAGAAGTGTCCAGGGGTGTGGAGCAGCCCCTCATCCCGTGGGGACGTGGTGTCTTTGTTTCCTGTGTAGCTTCTCGTTCCGCCTTAGAGTGAGCTGGTGT